AGAAAAATTTTCTAACAAATAAAACAAATCTCTTAATCTAAAAAAAAAAATACAATTTTAAATATAGTACAAAAATGACATTACTTAGAGAAAATACTAGTTTACAACTTGAAACCAGAGATTTCCATCATAATTTCAGAGTTTAATTGAAAGTTACTCAAATTAATTTGAATAAATTACAAAAACATTAAAAATATTGAATAATTGAATGGTTTTGAAACAAAACACATTCCCATATATTTTCACAAATTTAATCACCTTTAACATATATCAGAGACATAAAACTAAAGGGGTGAGCCTTTGAATGAATGATTGGGTGTAATCGTACCGTCTCAGACTTGGCTTTGTTATCGTCCCCCACTGATGATGTCATGATGCGAGGCACTTGCTGCTAATGATGAAAAACAAAAAGCAAATAAGAGCTCTTGTATGCATGCACACAGTTATTGTGCTGGAAATTCACAGAATATATCTGACAAGTATAATTAAATACATCACTACATGTGACCTCCATTGAGCATTATTAGCATTACAGAGGGTCTACAGTCGAAGTATTGCTATAAACTTAAGAGACTTCAGTTGTGTGATGACCTGCTGGCTGTGTGGAGAAGGTCGAAGCTCCTTCTTGTCATCTCGAGCTGGAAACAGAGACTTGAGCAGTTTGGGCATCTGTGGAACCAGCGCCTTAACTGAAAGATAAGAGGCAGCAAGTCCTAAACGACCTGGGGGGAGAGGGAAGGATGGAAGGAGGAGGAAGGCGAGGTGAAGAGGCGGAGGCAGGAGAGAGGAAGGAAGTGAGGCAACAAAAGGAGGTCCGGGAGGCAGAGGAGGTGTGAAAGATTAGGACAGGAAGTTGAAAGCAAGCTCAGAAAATGGTAAAAAAAATATCCCAACAGACTGGCGGAGTAAACTGCCAGGTAAACACACCAACAGAGATGATTGACAGCAATTACAACAGGTTAAAAAAAATAAAACTAAACTACTAGAACAGTTGTTGATCAGGATTATTCATTCTGTTCATTTATAAACAAAATGAATCTCACAGTGAAATGGAAAGAAATCCCTGTGAATCAGCTACTTGACAGAAGAAACTTCACAATTTTTACACCATGAAGAGAAAAATATACAGAGTTAAACAAAGCACAACACATGAAAAAACTTAAAATACATAAAGAAAACAGGCAGATAAGACTTTTTATTTCACATCGATTAATGTGGAGAAGAAAGAAGAGCAGAGATTAAATATTTAGTGTGAAAAATGAAACACCACAAAGTGAAATAAATATAATATCTTAGGAACATCAGAGAGGAGATGAGGAAATTAGCAAAGTTCTGATAACAGATTAACCCAGACTAAAAAAGGAGAAGAAAGAGGATAGGCATAGCAAGGATGTAGGGGAGGGGGGGCATCAAAGGAGGTTTACCTTGTTCTGGTTCCTGGTTTTGTGGAGGGGGACTGATGAAGGAAGTAGAGGATGAAGAGAGGGAGGTGGAGTATGTGGATGGGGATGAAGCTGGGCGTGGGAGGGTGCGGTGAAACTGAGAGGGCATGAAGATATCCTGCTGACTCTCCCATCGACCCTGAGGCAGACAAAGAGCATCAGAATTAGTTTGGAATGTGTGAAATGTCTCCAGTTTGTGCTCCATCATCATTTACAGGCTGAGTAAACGGTAAGTTACCCTCTAAAAACTCAAGGATTTACAACATCTGCTCCCTACCAGACTAAAAAACAAGGTAATTAGACCTCAGATAAACTAAATGTTATACAGTAGTCCCTCAATACTTCGTGATTCGACTTTCACGGACTCGGTCTTATGCAGGTTTTCAACGTAAGATTGTACATGAAATACGATTGATGATGGGGAAAGACAGCCCCCACCCCAGCCCCTTCCTTTCTCTTTCTGAAGCCGTCTGTCACAGCAGAGGCAATGAAGAAAGACAGACCCCACCCCTTCCTTTCTCTTTCTCTGCTGTGACAGAGGCTCAGAAAGAGAAAGGAGGGGGTGGGGTGGGGTCTGTTTTTCCCCTTCACTACTGCTCAGGGAGCAGGGATGAACAGATCAGATGAAAAAAATCTCGAAAATCTGAGAAAATGCTTAGGTGAAAAAATAAGAGTGAATCAGTTTAAAAAAGAGAGAGCATGGATGAGCACGGCTCACTCAGGAATGACACATACCCCCCTGCCCCCTCCTTTCTCTTTCCGAGGCTTTCTGTCACAGCAGAGAAAGAGAAAGGAGAGAAGCGGGGTCTGTCTTTCCCCATTGTGTCCCAGAGACACACAACAGGCAGGCATACAACAAACAGCCTCAGAAAAAGAAAGAGGTGGGGAGTGTACTGTCTGTCTTATAGCTGAGTGAGCCGCATGAGTGGCATGGATGGGAACGGTGCTTCAGTTGGCCAGCCCGCCCCCCCGGGCTCAGTAACCGTAGCATCAGTCTATCTGCTCTCTTTTACTGTGCTCTTTTAGAGCATTTAAGAACAAATTTAAGAACATTGTTAAGAACGTTGCAAGAGTGTGGGAAGGGTTTATAAAGCCTTAA